AAAAAAAAAAAAAACAATAGCTCATTAATGTGCTGAATGAATGAATGAATAACATACTCATTGATGTGCTGTTCTTTGTTAATTTCATCTGCTGATTCAGCAGCTAATTTTGCCTTAATTCTTTTGATTTTCAATAACTCTTCACGATCTTCACGATCCTTTATTTCGCGATAGTCCGGTTTTGTCACCTAATGACAAAAAAAAAAATGTCATGAAATAATTAAACAGAAAAATAAACAGTTCTAATTTTAATTCAAAAATGCATATAGAATAAATTTTTAAATTCAGAAAATTTAAAATCTTATTTAGTTCTCAAGAAAATTACTTCTTCATTTCTTTTTTTTTTTTTTGAAAGAACTAAAAGTACTGCTTTAAGAAAGATCTTCATTATTTAAGTATTTCGTAATCATCAGAGCATCACAAAGCTAACAATAGCAAAAGGATGAGGGTTCATAGTATTAAGATTTGACCAACTGATAAACATGTTTTTTTTTTTAAATTCATAATATAAGATTTGATTTTTAAATTCATAATATAAAATTTGATTTTCAAATTCATAGTACAAGATTTGACCAAACTGATAAACATATATAAATTCATCAGCAGTGGTAACAATATTCAATTTCAAATGTGATCAGATTAGGAAACGCACAAGCAATTAATATGATTAATGAGTTGAAATTAAAGCAATTAAAAAATCGATATTTGAGAATCGGACATCGTTCTCAAATTTCTTATAGTTCCAATAAATGCAACGAAAGAAGGAATAATTATTTAGTCAGATTATCTTCCCTGTTTGGTACGATTCAGCAGGCATTTTTTTTTTCACACAAGCAGATAATTCGACTGTAGTTTTTAAGGTAACATTAAAACTGTAAGCACGGTTTCATTCAACATTGGAATAAATGATGACTAACGATCCTAAAAGTTTGATTTCTGAGATTTTTAAAATTCAAACTGCAGCATTTGCTATTTGTAATATCGAATTGTGGTACCTGAGATAGAAACCGGAATTTACGATCATTGTTAACATCAGCGATCATTAGTTTGGTTCGATTACTCTCCTTGGCAAATGTTACTGGTTTGTTTGTACAGTTCAATAGACAATCTTTTAGCTCAAGCATAATTGGCTCACGATTTAAACCAGCTAACCATTCACGAAATGATAGGGACGGAGTTGGAGATCGTGTTGCCGGATACAGATCAGCTTGAAATCCGTCAGCCTAAAAAATTATTTTTGTCAAAATGCATACATACCCATCATTCCAAATTCCCTCAATGATAAATTTCAATATTATTCGAAGTAAATTTATGATAAGCGAAAAAGTTACAAAGGTTTGCCACGAATCAATTGCTCTCTTTCAATCATAACATTAAGCTTTCAATAGCAGATGCTATTACGTTATAATGCACGTTCACATTGTGAATATATTGCAGTATATATTCAACAAAAGGCAGACCAATACTAAAAAGAATGATGCACATATTAGTATTAGCAACGATGTGACGGAGAATCCAAATGAATGATGGAAAAGTTGCATATTATGAATGTTTGAAAATAAACGAATAATTCAAAGATATCTTTGAATTGTATCACTTCCAGTCACTTTCAAAAAAAAAAAAACAAAATAGAAAATCAATTCAAAATTGAAAATAAGATTTTTCTAACTTGAACTCAAAAAAGAAAAGCTAAAGGAAAATAAAAAATGAACAGAAAAAAAAAAGCTATTTCTCAAATGAAAAATAGATATTTTGTTAGTGCTCTTAGTTAGAACAAATTTTTTTTTTTTAAACATTTCATCTTACTTAATGCTTGAGTGCTTAAAAAATCAATTTATTTATGAATTTAGAAAATTTTAAAATTAGAAATTTGTATAGAGGAATGAGGAAAAAAAGCAAGTCAATTTAATTTCAAATTTTACAGATATAATGTTTTCAAAAGATTTAAAAACAACAACAACAACAACAATCACTTCAGGATTCAAAACTTACTCTTCTCGGAACAAAGAATGACAATGGTTCAATAACCAACTGTTCAGCATCAACCCGAAATATCCTCATTATTTCGCATTGTATTACGTTGAGACCACGTTTGGGAAGTAAGCATACCGCTGTATGTGCTTTAGAACCGGAAGATTCATTCAAATATGATATAAATGGTGCTTCTTTTAATAATTCATAAAATCGAATATTGGCATCACCCTTTAAAACAAATTACTATAGAATACCAATAAATTTCAAAAAAAAAAACTTCAATAAAATTCGAATGAAAAAAAAAACTTCAATGAAAAAAAAAAACTTCACAAAAATAAACAATTTATATTCAGTTAAAAATCAAACATTAAATAATCTACCTTTCCAGCAATGTACAATAAATTGAGATCATTATCAACCATAGGCATGAGAAAACCGGACCCGCCATCAATATCTACAACAGCTAATGGTGCATCCAAAGGTCGAGAACTGTAGATAGCTAATTGTCGTCGGGTACTTCGTGAACTACCAGTTGTTATAAGACGTTCACCGTTACCATTATTTGTTCCCGGTATTCCATAGTATAGAACTCGCGAAAGCATAGTACCATCATGAACAAGCTGTGTACTACGTTGTTTTTCACCCGTACGTGCATCATAAATTGATAATTCACGCGACTTAGTGACAATCACAAATTCAGAACAATTATAACTAAAATTATACGCTTTCATTTTGGAAGTTTTTCGAGATTATATGCCTAGATTTATTATCATATTTTCAAGAATAAAATAATTCTGAAAGCTACAGTATTTAGTAGGAATGCTAACTTTTTTTTTAGGGGAAGGAAAAATCCACTGATATTCTACTTTTTTTAGATTTAAATTAAGGCAAAGCAACTTTATTGTAAGTACGTCAGACATTAATCAGTGTTTTAAAAATTTATAAAATGATAGATAACAAAATATCACTTTCTTCAATTGTATATTCAAAAGTTTTCAAAAACTGTATATTCAAAACTAAAGTTCATTGACAGAGCTATTGTAATTATAAGATCTGTCCTCATTTCTGTCTCGTCTATTTCAACTATTAATCATGATCGTATGTAATCATTTACTTTTAAAATTAAAAAAAAAAAAAGAACCTTAAGCTTATTGAAACGGCATTGCAATCTTCAATTTTATATACAATGTCATCTGTTTCAATATTCCACAGCACTATTCGACCATCTAATGAAGCCGAAAAGACAGCATTATCAACCGTTGTATGCCATTCAACTGTATGAACGCGTCGAGAATGTGCTCGGGATATTCGCAAACAGCTGAAATTTGATAAAAATTAAGCCGTTAATTTAAACAGCGTAACTGAATTTCGTTTTCAATAGCCAGAAAAGCTACTTTCATCTTCATTAAACAATCTTAGTTGTTACCATAATTCCATAAATGACTCGAGATATTTTTTCAGTAAATTTATAACTCCCGGTAAAGTTGGAACCCTCTATTTTAGATTAACATTTTTTATTTGTAATAATTTAATAAAATTCCAAATTTTGTTTGTTCGAAACAAAAGTACCACATATTTATAATTTTGAATGATAATTAGCTCAGCATTAATGAGCTTTCTAATGGTTTCGAAATCAAAAATTCTTCAAATTAAACCTTAATGTACTTATGATAGTTCTTTCACTGAAATGAAAAATTTGCATTAGGAAAGAAGCAAATTATGCAAATTTTCGTTTTTTTTTTAATTTTAATTTCTTCTAATCTAATTATTAAATTTCACATGAAGCAAAAAAAAAAAAATCAGAACCGAATTCTAAGCATATCATCGATATGCCATATTCGAACTGTAGCATCATGAGATCCGGTAGCTAAAACATTATCATTGAAAGGATTCCATTTTACATCACATACAGCACCCTGAAATAACAGATAGCTTAATTGCTATTAAAATTATAAAAAGGTAGAATAGATTGAAAGATTTATCGATCTTTATTTCTCTTAACAAGTAAATAATTCACATTTTGCCTATTCTATTTTAAACAAATTATTAGAATACACTTGCTAAACAATATTAATATATACAGGGAAATTCAATAATAACGATTAATTAAATATCAATCATTAATGAAGCACTTTTCTACCTATTCTATTTTAAGCAAATTATTAGAATGCATTTGCTAAACAATATTAGCATATACAGAGAAATTCAATAATAAGGATTAATTAAGTATCAATCACTCACACAAGCACCCCAAATAAAATAGTAAAATAGATTCTAAATGATATTTCATGATTTTCTTTTTTTAAATGATATTTCATGATTTTTTTTTTAAAATGATATTTCATGATTTTTTTTTTTAAATGATATTTCAGACATACTTCATGATCTTTAATTTTGCCTAATTCCATTCGTCCTCGACCCATACGACACAGTTTGGCAATTTGAACAACACCACCGGCCGGAACATCGATAGCAAGTGCAATCATCTTTGGATTCGCCGCTACCGCTAACCCGTGTCCCGGTCCCGTATCGTACCATTCACTACGCCGTACACTTTTTGAATACACATGACGAAATCGAGAATATTTCAGCTTTGATAAAGCTTCTGAAATTTCTTTCAGTTAATTCTTCATAACAATCATAGCTCCATTTGAAAAAAAAAAAACAACAACAACAGCAATCCTTCATTATTTCATTTCTTCTTCAAAGATTATTCTTGAATTGATAAAGATTCTGAAGTGTGCATTCATCATCATTATCATTTTATTTTTACTCTTTTCGTAAATCTAAGTGAGGATGAATTAAACTAAAAATCTTTTGTTAGTTTATCACAGAGAAAAAAAAAACTTTTGTCAAGACCAAAGTTTTTTAATTGAAATTTCAAATGAAAAAGCAGTTTTAACTAACGGTCATAAATTTTGTCAAAATATATTAAGTAACAGCTATTATGAACTTGAACTGCTAAATTATGTTACTTATAGAAAGCATTACCGTAAAGTTATCAGGTGTGAGATGAAACTGTACAATTTATTTATACTTGATTTATTTATACAATTTACTTACAGTGAGAAATGAAACTGTAAAATTTATAGTTTGATAACTAATAAAAATTTTATGTCTAAAATGACAACATGGGATGATAACATGGACTGATAAGAATTAATGGATGAATTGCAGAATTATTATTTAAGCAAAAGACTACATATTCCCATCAATTATTTCCAGCACTTTTATCATATCAAATATGAGCAATTTTCAATACTTAAATGAACTTCTTCAC